GCATTATGAAGTGTCTTGCATGGCTTATCTCATCTTATATGCACAATAATCATTGCCTTTAAGGGGCAAGGGCCTATTATTTTCATTTTACTGCCAAAGAAATTCAGACAGAGAGTTGAAACAATGATCTCAAAGGTACAAACAGAAGAAGTGGCAGAGTGTGTAAACGCAGCTTCTCTGAATCCAAAGCCTACAGAGTTTTGCAAAGCAGGCCCTGAGGGCTGTCCTGCCCGCTCCCAGACTCCTGCTTCTAGGTGAGTGGGAGGTCTAGCCTTCCAGAAGGCTTAGGGTTGGACTTGGGGATGCCAAGCAAGACCAGACACAGTTTCCCAGCCTCCTCCAACTCAAAAGGTCTCAGCCCAGCAAGACGAGTGCTGACTGGGGAGACATAGTCTCTAAGGATGGTGGGAGCCCAAGTCTTCTGGGTACCCCAACCAAGCCCCCTCATACTTACCTGTCTCCAAAGCAGTTGCAGTCAGGGCGGCTGCCCCCAGCAAGAGCAACCTTTGGGGCAACTGCAGAAGACAAGCCTCCATCCAGGCTCTGCTGTGCCCAGCAATGGGGCAGACCCACAGAATCTTCAGCTTGGGGTTTCTGGGGAGACTGGGGTATGGGGCCTGGTCAGGCCAGCAGGGAGGCTGGTGGGACACAAGGAGAAGAAGGAGACAAGTCCTTCAGCCCCTGGTCTCTTCAGTATGATCTTTGTGCTCCGCCTTCCAGATCCTCCTCCTTTGGTTCAGAACTGTGTCCAGGGGTTGCCATGGAGATTTGGGGCCAGGGCTAGAGCCTGGGGAGAGGAGGCAGGGAGGAGATCTGCTCCCCTTCTGCCAGACAGGAATCAGGAAACTCAGATCCGGTTCAGCCACAGGGTTTCTGGGAGGAGGACCCGCAGGAAGCCAGATGTGCTACCTTCCTAGATCAGTTGTCACCTTAGGGACTGAGCTTCAGGGAGGTCCAGGACACCAAAGGAACCTCTCTGAGGGCCTAGAGAGCAGCAGGCAGCAAAGGAGTACTGGACCAGGAGTCTGCTCTATTACCAACAAGCCATTCCTGCCTCAGGGCCTTTGCATTCATAGATCCCTCTGTCTGGAGTGTTTTCCCCCCATAGCAGTGCACAGTTGACTTCTTCAGGTCATCAGGTCTAGCTCATATGACACCTCCACAGACCACATTCTCCTGACCACCTCTCCATCTAAATTAACACTCTCTCTCTCCTTGTCACTCAGTCACATCTCAAATGTATCATCCCAGCACTCTCTGGAATTATTTTGCTTATTCATTTCTTGTTGTATATATTGCCCACTGGCCTCCACTAAAATTATATTCCATGAGTATCCTGTTTACCTCTGAACCCCTATGTCATAGCACAGCCACTGGCACAAGGCAGGCACCCAGGAAATAATGAAAGAATAAGTGTGTGACATTAAACAAATGACCCCTTTTTCTGGATTTTACTTCCCCATGTGTAAAATTAATACCCTGAACTAATTCAGACTTTTTCAAAACGTGTTATTAGTAGAACAATTTTTTTTCAAAAGGTATCTTACAAGGAACCTTAATCTAAAAACTGAAGCTTTTCGAGCCCTGGCATCCTTCTCTGGAAAATGGGATAATGATAATACCAACCACATACTTACATTGTAAGAATTAAGTAACTTGGCCCAGCGTGGTGGCTCATGCCTGTAATCCCAGCACTTTGGGAGGCCGAGATGGGTGGATCACAAGGTCAGGAGTTCAAGGCCAGCCTGGCCAACATAGTGAAACCCCATCTCTACTAAAAATACAAAAAAAAATTAGCTGGGCATGGTGGCACATGCCTGTAGTCCCAGCTACTCGGGAGGCTGAGGCAGGAGAATCGCTTGAATCCGGGAGGCAGAGGTTGCAGTGAGCCGAGATTGTGCCATTGCACTCCAGCTTGGGCAACAGAGTGAGACTTCAT